ACATGACATGTTTTTCTTAAAAACAATGCCTCCACTCCAAATAAATCATGGTCAAAATAAATGAAGATCTCAAGATGACATCAGTCCCATTTGTCTTAAGTCCTGGTGTGTGGATGACAAGCAGAAGCCAGTTATGATGACAGGTGATAGATCCAAAGTAATTGCCAAATTTGTTAACATTTTTCCATTTCTAAACCATTCTTAAAGAGAATCATATATGGGGTCACACCATCTTCACAGTAGTCCAATAGAGCAACCATGCCATCTGGATTCATGTTTTCACCAATAAAGAACTGGTAGTTTTTGAAATTAGCAAGGATGTGCTAATTTTTACTCTTTCTGGTCTCTGTTCTTCAAGTTTGCCTTTGATTGATTTCATGTAATCTTTGATGTACCTCTTGTACACTTCTTTTGTGAAACTTGTTTCCTGCAGGTGATGGTTCAACATGCAGGAAAACAAAAATGATATATCAACATGCAACACAGCAGCAACAGATGCTTCAACAACAGTTTTTAATGCATTTGGTATATCAGCCACAACCTTCTGCATCGCACAGATGAGGATGAGGAATGAGAATCGCTTGAACCTGGGAGGCAGAAGTTGCAGTGAGCTGACATCATGCCACTGCACTCCAGCCTGGGTGACAGAACAAGAGTCTGTCCTTTAGCAGACCTCCACTGAAGTGGTTGTCGGCGCAGGGCCCAGAGCATGATAGGCCACTCCCTACCCACCCAGTGAACATTTACAATCATCACATCCCTTCTAGAACACAAACCCCTATGCTGGGGTCCCTTCTCTCCTGCACACCTTCTTGCAGGGAGGGCTGTCAGGCCTAAAGGGGGTGCCGATTGCTTCTCCGTGCCTGCACGGGTATGAAATGTGGTCCATGGCCAGGCTCCTCTCCTGCCCTGCGCAGTAGCAGCACGGCCCTTGCCTTTCTTCAGTGTTCTCCAAACTGGTCAGAGAGGAGGCACAGACTGCTAGAAGGGCAAGAAAAGTCATAATTCACAGTCATTTGCTACAGAAAGTACCTGGGGATCCGTCCTTGGATGCTTTTGCCTCCAAGCAATCCACTTAAACTCCAGGAGAGGGAACAGCTGAGATACTGGGATAGGGGTGGGAGTCCCCAGAAGGCACCCAGGAGACACTGGCTGCAGAAGTGGGGTCCCTGGAGGCCTTCAAGACCTTGTAAGAAAATGAATTTGCTGTTGGCAGGTTGGCCTGAGAATCCCGGAGGCAGCTTCAGACATTGTGGGGAGTCAGACCCACCCTCTCAGTCTGCAGCTGTGGCAGTCAGAGGTTTGGCACACAAACAGCCTGTGTCCAGCAGCAGAGGGCACAGGGGACAGGTGTATGACTGGGGTCCCGAGTGCCCAGGCCTGACCAGAGGGAGCGGGAGGGCGGAGGTGGGGAGGGGAAGGTGTTTCTGGGTGCAACAAGGCAGTCCTTGTGTGTTCAACAAGAGAACAGAGCTGGAGATGTGACTGCTGGAGGCTGAGAGGTGGAGGTGTTCAGGTACCCCCTATACTTCCCAGCATGTTATCCTCTTGCCTTCAAAGTTCCCTGTATGTGAAACAGGAAGTCCTGAGTGTGTTTGTGTCAGTGCAGTGCTCATGACACAGGATTCTCAGTGCGGTTCAGCTCCCCCCAGGGACTCCCCAGAAGATGGTGCCTTGGTGCTGGGCTTGTCTTGTGCCTGAGTCCTGGGACAGGAGTCACCCTGTGCTTCCTGCCCAAGATATTGACCCACTGAACCCAAAAGCATTTTTCTCTCCGTGAAGTCCGTGGTGCCTTCCTGGTGGGCTGCTGACACTAATGGTGTTGGGGGGTCTTGGAACAGTTTCTGTATGTTGGATTCCTGTAAATGTGAGGAGTCCACATATAAAGAAGTGACTTTCATTCTGGGATTATATTGATTTGGTATACATTAAATGGGAGTTTAATCCAAAGACTGTAATGACTTTTAGAGACTCTAAAGATTTGTATTGTGTAATGAACTAAACCACCTGTAATTTTATACCGTATATGCCTTTCCTTCAAATGACCAACAGCTTCTCAATAAAACCAGATGATTTCTCACCTGCAAAAAAAAAAAAAAAAAAAAAAAATAGGCCAATTGCTGATAAAGAGGTCATTGCAAATTTCACAAATCAGAAGAACATCAGCAACCCACCTGATATGTCAGGGTGGAATCCTTTTGGAGAGGATAATTTCTCTAAGTTAACAGAAGAGGAACTGTTGGACAGAGAATTTGACCTTCTAAGATCAAGTAAGGGACACTTGAAGGCTTATTTTGCTTCACAGTAAAATAACAGCTCTGTTATTATTCAGCAAGGCCAAAGACTGTTTTGAGATGGTGAATGGAAAATTCTTTTTGTGCATTTGAGGGCAAAATTCAGGCCATCTTCTTATTCAAACACTAGCCAATATGTTGTGTGCATTAGAAATCAGTTGCTTGATAGTGGTTATTAAACCCAATATTGCTGATAGTATATCCTAACACTTAAATATTGCTTATCTAGGGATGTTAAATTCAGAATATAAAACTGATGTTTCAATCAAAAGGGAAACATTATTATTTTGCCTTGCTAATGATTTTGCAGCTCTGTTTTCTTTGCACACCCAATAGAAAATATTGTGGGTCTGAGATGCCCTTTGAAAATGCCTGAAAGAAAACACGGGCTACTACCTTATGTTAATGTTTTGTAATGCCCTTTTAATGAGTGGTGACATAAAAGGGCTGCTTTGTTGTCCTGATATGGCAAAAATTAAATAAATTCCTTTTCACTTAAAAAAAAAGTTCTGCTGGTTCCAATTGTATTGATTGTGGTGGGGAGATATGAGGAGGAGTAGAGGGGCATATGGCCATTCTCACACCCCATGCTTTTGTCCTGCCAGTGGGAGGCATTGATATATCATTTCTTTTTCACTACTTAATGCATTTAATTCCAACCCCTCATTGGAATCGTCTTGGTAACATTTAAGATTCTACAACAGTTATAATATGACAATGCAGAGGTGGTCTCAAAGTTGTTACAGTGTTAACAAAAATAATAGTAAGCAGTATAAAATTACAATTTATTATGGGGTCAGGGGGATTCACAACCAGCCTGAACAACATTAAGAGCAAACCACAGCCGGGCATGGTGGCTCACAGCACTTTGGGAGGCCAAGGTGGACAAATCACTTGAGGTCAGGAGTTCAAGACCAGTCTGGCCAACATGATGAAACCCCGTTTCTACTAAAAAGACAAAAATTAGCCAGGCATGGTGGTTTACACCTGTGGTCCCAGGTGTAAAGTCCTACAGTGGTAGGACTGCAAAATGTCCTTGGAGAGGTAGGAGGTGGGTTTAAGGTGGCCATGGACATCCTCAACAGTGGCCGGTTCAGTATGGGCAGCACTGTGGCTGGGATGCTCAAGAGATTGATTGAAATGACTGCTAAGTACGCCTGCACAAGGAAACAGTTTAACAAGAGACTCAGCGAATTTGGATTGATTCAGGAGAAGTTTGCACTTATGGCTCAGAAGGCTTATGCCATGGAGAGTATGACCTACCTCATGGCAGGGATGCTAGACCAACCAGGCTTTCCGGACTGCTCCATCGAGGTGGCCATGGTGAAGGTGTTCAGCTCTGAGGCTACTTGGCAGTGTGTGAATGAGGCACTGCAGATCTTCGGGGGCTTGGGCTCCATGAGGGACTATCCATACAAGCGCATACTGTGTGACACCCGCATCCTCCTCATCTTCAAGGGAACCAACGAGATTCTCCGGATGTACATCGCCCTGACGGGTCTGCAGTATGCTGGCCGCATCATAACCACCAGGATCCATGAGCTTAAACGGGCCACTGTGAGCATAGTCATGGAGAGTGTTGGCCGGAGGCTTTGAGACTTCATGGGCAGAGCGGTGGACATGGAGCTGACAGGCAAACTTGGAGTCGTGCACCCCAGTCTTGAGGATAGTGCCAACAAGTTAGAGGAGAACACCTACTACTTTAGCTGGACCGTGGAGACGCTGCTGCTCCGCTTTGGCAAGACCATCGGGGAGGAGCAGCTGGTGCTGAAGCGGGTGGCCAACATTCTCATCAACCTGTATGGCATGACGGCTGTGCTGTCGCAGGCCAGCCTCTCCATCTGCATCGGGCTCTGTAAGCATGACCACGAGGTTCTCTTGGCCAGCACCTTCTGTGCAGAAGCTTACTTCCAGAATCTCTTCAGCCTCTCTCAGCTGGACAAGTATGCTCCAGAAAACCTAGATGAGCAGATTAAGAAGATGTCCCGGCAGATCCTTGAGAAACGAACCTACATCTGTGCCCACCCTCTGGACAGGACATACTGAGGCAGGGAATAGTGTCCCCTGCCACCGCCTGCCCCCAGCTATGGCCCGTTGCTGGATGACTGTCACTACTTTTTCAGAAGGTGGAGAACTTGGGCTTATCACAGATTGAGCCATTTGTTCGTAGTCTGCACATGAAGGGTTGTCTCCTGGCATGGGGGAGCCACACAGGTTTTAACCTATGTGCAGTGCTAACAGGACCATCACAGCCTCTGAACTGAGCCAGAGAGAAAGAATGGAATTGCTGACCTCTGGAATTGGCAGGTATTCTGGTCATTGAGGACACAGCACAGCGGAAACTGGGGCTTGTGCTGCTGCCTCCAGGGTGAGACAGTTGGGGACCTGCATCAGGTGGGAATAGCCATTTCTGCTCAACCACACATTCTCTAGGAAACAGCTTGAAAGCTGCGTCTGGGTCCTTCATTTAAACTAGAAGCAGAGGCACTTAAAACACGTACCAGGAACCATTTAACAAAGAAGAATAGAAAACGTCACAATCTGTGTACTCTTAGCCTTTGCTGTACTCATCACACTGTTCCTCAGAACCAGCCTTCAGTGGGTGACAACAGGACCCTGAGAACCACCCTTTGGTGATGGCTTCAGGTCCGCTTTGTCCTCACCCTGCAAGGAAGGCCCAGAATGCTAAGGAGCAGGCACATGGGGCAGGCNAAAAAAAAAAAAAAAAAAAAAAAAAAAAAAAGATCTGCCTCTGTGATGGTTTTTTTTAAGAAATGATCACGGTTTCCTTCTTTTAACTTAGCTTATGATATTTGTATTTTTAATCTTTTTAGAGATGGATGCCTCGCCCTGTTGCCCAGGCTGGGCTGCAGTGGCACAATCACAGTTCACTGCAGCCTCGAACTTGTGGGCTTAAGTGATCTTCCTGCTTCAGCCTTCTGAGTAGTAGCTTGGATGACAGGTGTGTGCCACCATGCCCGGCTAATTAAAACATTATTTTTCTTTTCTTTGTTTTTTTTTTGAGACAGAGTCTTGCTCTGTCACCCAGGCTGGAGTGCAGTGGCGTGATCTCGGCTCACCACAACTTCTGCCTCCTGGGTTCAAGGGATTCTCCTGCTTTAGCCTCCTGAGTAGCTGGTGTTACAGGTGTGCACCACCATGCCCAGCTAATGTTTTGTATTTTTAGTAGAGATGGGGTTTCACTGTGTTGGTCAGGCTTTTCTCAAACTCCTGACATCATGATCCACCTGCCTTGGCTTCCCAAAGTGCTGGGAATACAGACGTGAACCACTGCACCCGGCCCATTTTTTTTCTTTCATAGAGATGGGGTCTTGCTTTGTTTCCCAGGCTGGTCTGGAACTCCTGGCACAGATTTTGTTTTTTTTTTTTTCTACGGAAATACTCATGTATGCATAAGAAGCTGAGACAAGGATGCCCACTGCAGCATTGTTTTTAACGTGAGACGCTGGAGAAACCCATATGCTCATCAGTAAGGGACTGGTTAAACAAACCTGCAGCACAACCATACTAAGTACTGGGCCATGAAGCTGTGCGACCTTAGGTAAGACAGCTGTTCAGCCTATTTGGGCTTCCAGTTTTGCATCTGTAAGATGGTGTCAGCTTTTCCCAGTGTGGCGCTGAGCGTTGGCAAAGGCCTGGAGGCTTCTTAGGGTTTTGTTGTTTTCTCCGTCTGTGCCTTTGAACCTCTATCTGCCGTCCAATCCTCCATCAGTGCCTCCCATTGGCTGAACCTCCCTGGAATCCAGGGAACTGCAGTTCTCTCAGGGAAGTGAGGCAGGTGCTATGATTACCCACCATTTACAGCCAAGGGAACAGGCTCAGAGAGATGAAGTGAGTTGTACAAGGTCAACTTCTAGGGTTGCACAAGGTACAGAGTCCTCCTCTAGCCAGCCTCCATGATACCAGCTTTCTGAATGATGCTGACATGGTCATAAGCTTTGTCAACTTAGTTTGCTGAGAAACATGGTTTCCTGCTTCATCCATGTTCTTGCAAAGGACATGAACTCCTTCTTTTTTATGGCTGCAAAGTATTCACATTTTCTTTCTTCAGAGTATCAATGATGGGCATTTTGGTTGGTTCCAAGTCTTTGCTATTGTAAATAGTGCTGTAATAAACATACATTTAAGCCTCCTGAGAAATATACTAACTTGCATTTTCAATAAATTTGTTTCAATTAAAAAAATTTTTTTTTAAGAAAAACCAGTCGCTTTATTTTTCTTCAATATATATTTAGAAAATTGGTCTCAGGTTTCATGAGACAGACCAGATGACTATGTACAAAATCAAGAGTTCTAAACCAGAAAGAAATAGGGCACAATGAAGCACACATCCCCAGGGGCCACGTAGCCTAGGACCTTCCCATAGTGGGGAGGCAAGTTCTTTGATGGTTTTTGAGTTCAGCTGAGGGATGGTGCTGATCTTCAGAAGTTTGCTGCTTGCATACTTATTCTTGATGGCGATGAATTTGCTTAGGTTTTCGTTCACTTTCACCACATTTTTTGCCATGTGCTGCATGACTTCCAGTACTTCGTTCTCTGTATCCCGTGTAATACTGCTGCTTTAAGTTCCATTTTCCTTGTCCTAGAACCTTCTGAGACAAGCAGGAAGCAGCTGCTGCTACCTTAGAAGGATGATAATGCACCATATCGTAGTCAATGAGAGTCAGCTCCATCAAATACTTGGCTAAAGTGTGCTGTTCAACATCAACCTCCCCAGATTTTGATGCTCGCCTTAAGAAGTGTAGTGGCAAGGGTCGAACCAACTCAAATTTCAAGATCTTTACAAGATCAGAGGACAGATGGTATTGGGAGCCCTTTGGAGAACGCCACATTCTCTCAGGGCCCCTGCCTCTGTCGGGCTTTGCAGTGTCAGAAACTCTGATCTTGTCCACAGCATGATTCTTTTTTAATAGAAGTTTTATTTTTTGTGCACTCTGCTAATCATGTGGATGAAGGGGTTGGACAGTTGGGAGACCTGTGCTAGTTTACAGATGGCCTCCTAATGGCATGGCTCAAAACAAAACCTAGTAGTTGTGACTGGATTCCCATCCTGATCTCTACTACCACCATGAAACTAGTGTAGGGGAAAGCAGCTTTTGCTGTTTTTCAAAAATCCCTGCTTCACCCTATCAAGTTAAGGAGTGCCTGTGCCAATAAAAGGTCTGTCCTTCAACTAAAAAAAAAATCTGTTCTTTTACAACAATTATGAAGAATAAGAATCTTGATAATTTCCTCATGGCATTATTGTACTATTTATCTCATTACTTGGAAAAAAACTCGCTGGAAAAGAAACCCAAAAGCTATATGGTAGGCCTTGTAGACAAAAAAGAAATGGAATTGGTTTTAAGTAAATTAGAAGCGGCACAGAAGTACTTGGCGCAGAAGTACTGTATCCTTGTGCAGGGTTTGGCCGTGCCGGATAAGCATCACATGAGCTGTGGAAAGTAAGCACACGCTTATACTTCATTAGATCATCATTCATCGTAGACACACATTCTTAAGATGCTTCTGTTTGACTTTCGTTACTTTGAGAAAATGTTCCTTTTTCTGTTGTCCAGAGTAATTGGGCTCAGGTGAGAATCTGTCCCAAAGACTTGTGATGTCTCCTTTGAGAGAGCCAAGTGCATATGGAAGAAATCTCAAAATCTCAGCTGATATTTTAAAAACTTTCCACTGCTTGGGATTGAATGATGTGGTCCCTCAGTGAAATCTTGCTCTCAGCAAGGAAGGAAACTTGCTGCCAGACCAGGACCACTTGTTTGGGCAGGAGGCCTGGTGGGGCTGGTAGTGCAGGGGATTGGGTGTGTCCCTACCCTTTCACTGCTTAGTCTGCAGCAGCAACAATTGTGAGTAGGAGCTGCTGAAGTATGGATTCTAAGATGGTTCTTTGTGGGAAGATCATTTTTACCTTAGGATGATAATTTTTACACCACTGTAATTAAAAAAAAAAAAAAAAAAAAAATTTAAAAAAAAAAAAAAATAAAAAAAAAAAAAAAAAAACAAGGAAGGGTAAAGGGTTCAATTCAACGAGAAGATCTAACTATCCTAAATATATATGCATTCAACACAGGAGCACCTGGATTCATAAAGCAGATTCTTAGAGACCTAGAAAAAGACATAGACTCCCACAAAATAACAGTGGGAGACTTTAACACCCACTGATAGTATTAGGCAGATCATAGAAGCAGAAAATTAACAAAGATATTCAGGATCTAAACTCAGCATTGGACCAAATGGTTCTGATAGACCTTTACAGAGGTTTCCACCCAAAAATAATAGAATATATATTCTCTTCATTGCCACTTGGCACTTTCTCTAAGGTTGACCACATAATTGTACATAAAGTGGTCCTCAACAAATGTAAAAGAACAGAAATAATACCAAACATACCCTTAGAACACAGTGCAATAAAAAGAGAAAACGACACAATGAAAATCGCTCAAAACCATACAATTACATGGAAATTAAACAACGTGCTCCTGAATGAACTTTGAGTAAATAAAGAAATTAAGGCAGAAATCAAGTTATTTGAAAATAATAATAGAGATGCAACATACCAGAATCTCTGAGATGCAGCTAAGGCAGTGTTAAGAGGGAAATTCATAGCACTAAAAATGCCCATATCAAAGTCAGAAAGATCTCAATTTAGCAATCTAACTTCACAACTGAAACAATTAGAGAAGCAAAAACAAATTAATCCCAAAGCTAGCAGAAGAAGGGAAATAACAAAAATCAGAGGTGAACTGAAGGAAATTGAGACACCAAAAAACCATCAAAGATCAACAAATCTAAGAATTGGTTTTTGAAAAAATAAAATAGGCCACCAGCTTGACTAAGAAGAAAAGACGGAAGATCCAAATAAACACAATTAGAAATGACAAAGGGAATGTTACTACTGACCCCACAGAAATAAAAACAACTGCAATGAACACCTCTACACACACAAACTAGAAAACTTAGAAGAGATGGATAAAAATCCCTTGACACATATGCTCTCCCAAGACTGAGCCAGGAAGAAATTGATTGCCTAAACAGACCAATAATGAGCTTTGAAATTGAATCAGTAATAATAGCCTGCCAACCAAAAAAAGCCCAGGATCTGATGGATTTACAACTGAATTCTGCCAGATATACAAAGAAGATATACCATTTCTACAGAAACTATTCCAAAAATTGAGGAGGAGGGATTTCTTCCCAGTTCATCCTATGAGGCCAGCATCATCATGATACTAAAATCTGGCAGAGACACAACAAAAAAAAACATCAGAGCAGCAGAGGCGATCATTTTTCTTTTTTTTTCTTTTAAAAACTCCCTTCATAAGAACCAATCCAGAGAGAATTTATTGATCAGTGATCACAGCTGGTATGCCAAAGCAGAGGCAGATTGCAGGTTTTTTTTTTTTTTTTTGACGTTTTAAGGCTCTTGAGTATTAAGTTAATAAATCAGATATACACAGTGATTAATAAAAAAGAATTATTTACATAACTATACAAAGTTCTACTTTTGACACATTTTTTTTCTTCTTTAAATTCTTCATTTTACCAGCAACTGCTGACATCAAAGTCCCCCCTCCCCCAACAAAAAATACAATTAAAAAAAAATAATAAAGTCATTTGTGATCATTGCTGTGGTTCTGAGCTGCAAAGGCACTTTCTTTCTTTTTCTTTTCTTTTTTTTTTTTTTTTTTTTTTTTTTTTTTTTTTTTGATACGGAGTTTCGCTCTTGTTACCCAGGCTGGAGTGCAATGGCGCGATCTCGGCTCACCGCAACCTCCGCCTCCTGGGTTCAGGCAATTCTCCTGCCTCAGCCTCCTGAGTAGCTGGGATTACAGGCGCGCGCCACCACGCCCAGCTAATTTTTTGTATTTTTAGTAGAGACGGGGTTTCACCATGTTGACCAGGATGGTCTCGATCTCTTGACCTTGTGATCCACCCGCCTCGGCCTCCCAAAGTGCTGGGATTACAGGCGTGAGCCACCGCGCCCGGCCCAAAGGCACTTTCAAATACAGAACTACTTGTACATCATCATAAAACCAATATACAAAAACAACTCAAGAGTCAATAAATATAAATAAAATTATGATCTAAGACTGCATCACCATTAGGACATCTGGCAGAAGTGGGAGCTCAAAGACTGGGGGGGCGGGGGACTGGGCAGGCTCCTGGAAGCCCGATCAGAGAACTGTCTGCTGCAGGGGGACAAACAACCAGGGTACTGTCGACTCATTTTTGCATAGCCGTGAGATGCGGCACTCGATTTCCCAGCCAACCACAGAAACTACCATTGCCAGTGTAAGCCAGCTTGTCAAAACTTAAATTAACACAGGGATTCTAAGTCAACAACAGCCTCAGACTCGAGTATGACACGACAGTTTAAATAACTACAAGCCCTCAGACTCTACCTAGCGGCAGCAGCGCCCACTGTCTGCTATACAATGTACTCCATCCGGTTTAAGCTTGGGGCACTTTCCAAGTCTCGGTTGTCCTATTTGTTTGTCCAGTTTGGGTGTTTTGTCGGCATGCTGTTGGGAGGCTTCTCTTCTCTGTCTACCAGCGTGTACACTGCTGCTTGGCAAACCAGGCTTTCTGCTGGTGTTTATCCATGTCATCCTCTTTGACTTCAGAGTTGTGTGTCCTTATTTTAGATATTTTGGAGTTTTTGTTCTCGTAATCCTTGATGGGGACCGTGTTGGCCCCATGTTTCTCAATGGGGTTTTTGATCTGGTTCAGCTGCTCCCGCACGTTGTTGGTGGTGTTGTCCTCAGAGGCTGAGTGTGTGTGGCTGCCTGGCTTCCACCTCTTCCACAGGCACCAGTACAAGGCCGTTGCCAAGCAACAGATCCAAGCCATGGTTAAGACAGAGCTCAGCAAGGGCACCAGGAAATCTGTTCTGTTCTTCTGAGGCTGCCTCTGAACTTTTACTTCTGCAACGGCAGCAATCAATGAGCTGTTTCCATCACGTTTACTAACAAGATCGATGATTTTGTCGGTGATTTCCTTGACTGGGTTTCCATCATCCCATATATCTTCAGCAGAAATGGCCACGTGTATTTCATTGTTCGCAGAAGAAGGCTCACAAGCGATATAGATTGAATATTCAGCAGAAACATTCTTCAAAATATTCAGATTCCTCAATTCACTGCAAATGTGCCCAGTGGTAAGACCTGGTGACATCATCTCCTTGTTAAAGGTGAACGTGATGTTTGCACAATTATCCTGGTAATAGGAGCCAGAGGTGCACTTCATCTTCACCGGCTGGAGACCGGAGGACCGACACTCGCCCACACCAGTGCAGGGGTGGACGAAGCACTGGTCGTCCAGGATGGGGATACAGCTCTGCCACTGGGGCACTTGCTGTGCCCTTTGTGGAGCAGGCAAGGTCAATGGCCACACCAGACCTTTGAGCAGGCAATCCGTCCATTCAGACACTGGCAGGTGTTACAGTCATCATCCCATTTGGCCCCACCTGGTATCACACTGCAAGGTCTTCCTGAAACTTCCTGGCACTTGGCACCACTGTGCCCTGGGGGACAGGCACACCAGTAGCCATTGATCTCATCCACACAGGTTGCCCCAAAGGCACAAGGTGAAGGCTGGCATTCATTGATGTTTATTCTGCAGTCGTGCCCAGCAAAACCCGGGGCACATTTGCACCGGTACCAGTTGTCTCCATCCACACAGGTGCCGCTGTTGTAACAGGGATGAGGGCTGCAGTCATTAGTATTCTGAGCACAGATGGGCCCCTCCCAGCCTTCCTTGCAGACGCACATAAATGACTCGCCATTGACCACACATGTGCCCCCATTATGGCAGGGTTTGGGAAGGCAGCTACTGTTTCGTGCTATGTTACAGGTGGTTCCTTCCCAGCCACCAGGACACATGCATTTAAAAGCATCCCCCTCATCATAGCAAGTGCCACCATTGTTGCACATGGCCTCGTCACACTGGCTGTCACGAGAGTGGCAGGTCTTTCCTTTGGGGGTGGCCCTCACATAGCCACCCCACACAGGACAGGCATGCACATGAGGCCCTCTCCCCGCTGCCCTCACACAGCCACCCTGCACAGGACAGGCACACACAGGAGGCCCCCTCCCCACTGCCCTCACACACACAGCCACCCCAGGGGATCTCTGAAGGTCAGCCAAGCTCCTCTCCTGGGGCTGACCCACCAGGAAAGAAAAAAAAAAAAAAAGGTTGGCCTCAAGCGGAGCGAGCTCTTCGAAGCCTTTGACCTCTTCGATGTGCAGGATTTCAGCAAGGTCATCTATACCCTGTCTGCTCTGTCCTGGACCCCGATCTCCCAGAACAGGGGGATCATGCCCTTCCCCACTGAGGAGGAGAGTGTGGGTGATGAATACATCTACAGTGGCCTGTCTGACCAGATCGATGACACGGTGGAGGAGGATGAGGACCTGTATGACTGCGTGGAGAATGAGGAGGCGGAAGGCAACGAGATCTACGAGGACCTCATGCACTCGGAGCCTGTGTGCATGCCGCCCAAGATGACAGAGTATGACAAGTGCTGCTGCTACCTGCGGGAGATCCAGCAGACGGAGGAGAAGTACACGGACATGCTGGGCTCCATCCAGCAGCACTTTATGAAGCCCCTGCAACGGTTCCTGAAACCTCAAGACATTGAGATCATCTTCATCAACATAGAGGACCTGCTTCGTGTTCATACTCACTTCCTAAAGGAGATGAAGGAAGCTCTGGCCACCCCCGGTGCAGCCAACCTCTACCAGGTCCTCATCAAATACAAGGAGAGTTTCCTCATCTATGGTCGCTACTGCAGCCAGGTGGAGTCAGCCAGCAAACACCTGGACCGTGTGGCCGCAGCCCGGGAGGACGTGCAGATGAAGCTGGAGGAATGTTCTCAGTGAGCCAACAACGGGAGGTTCACCTTGCGGGATCTGCTGATGGTACCCATGCAGTGAGTTCTCAAATATCACCTCCTTCTCCACGAGCTGGTGAAGCACACACAGGAGGTGATGGAGAAGGACAACCTGCAGCTGGCCCTGGATGCCATGAGGGACCTGGTTCAGTGTGTGAACGAGGTCAAGCGAGACAACGAGACACTGCAGCAGATCACCAATTTCCAGCTGTCCATTGAGAACCTGGACCAGTCTCTGGCTCACTATGGCTGGCCCAAGATCAATGGGGAGCTCAAGATCAACTTGGTAGAACGGCGCTCCAAGATGGACAGGTACGCCTTCCTGCTTGACAAAGCTCTGCTCATCTGTAAGTGCCAGGGAGACTTTTATGACCTCAAGGACTTTGTCAACCTGCACAGCTTCCAGGTTCGGGATGACTCTTCAGGAGACCGAGACAACAAGAAGTGGGGCCACATGTTCCTTCTCATTGAGGACCAAGGTGCCCAGGGCTATGAGCTGTTCTTCAAGACAAGAGAATTGAAGAAGAAGTGGATGGAGCAGTTTGAGATGGCCATCTCCAACACACCTACCCCAAGAATGCCACTGCCAATGGGCATGACTTCCAGATGTTCTCCTTTGAAAAGACCACATCCTGCAAGGCCTGTCAGATGCTGCTTAGAGGCACCTTCTATCAGGGCTACCACTGCCATTGGTGTTGGGCACCTGCACACAAGGAGTGTCTGGGGAGGGTCCCTCTCTGTGGCCGGCAGGGGCAAGATTTCCCAGGAACGATGAAGAAGGACAAACTACATCGAAGGGCTCAGGACAAAAAGAGGAATGAGCTGGGTCTGCCCAAGATGGAGGTGTTTCAGGAATACTATGGGCTTCCTCCACCCCCTGGAGCCATTTGACCCTTTCTACGGCTCAATCATGGAGACATTGTGGAGCTCACGAAGGCTGAGGCTGAACAGAACTGGTGGGAGGGCAGGAATACGTCTACTAATGAAAGTGGCTGGTTTCCTTATAACAGGGAGAAGCCCTATGTCCACGGCCCTCCTCAGGACCTGTCTGTTTATCTCTGGTACACAGGCCCCATGGAGCACACAGGGGCAGAGAGCATCCTGACCAGCCGCTTGGACAGGAGGTTCTTGGTGCGGCAGAGGGTGAAGGATGCAGCAAAATTTGCCATCAGCATTAAATATAACATCGAGGTCAAGCACATTAAAATCATGACAGCAGAAGGACTGTACCAGATCATGGAGAAAAAGGTTTTCCGAAGGCTTACGGACCTGGTGGAGTTTTACCAGCAGAAATCCCTAAAGGATTGCTTCAAGTCTCTGGACACCACCTTGCAGTTCCCTTTCAAGGAGCCAGAGAAGAGGACCATCAGCAAGCCAGCAGTGGGGAGCACAAAGTATTTTGGCACAGCCAAAGCCCGCTATGACTTCTGCGCCCAGGACCGATCAGAGCTGTCTCTCAAGGAGGGGGACATCATCAAGATCCTTAACAAGAAGAGACAGCAAGGCTGTGGCGAGGGGAGATCTATGGCCGGGTTGGGTGATTCCCTGCCAACTACGTCGAGGAAGATTATTCCGAATACTGCTGAACCCTGGTGCATTGGCGGACAGACAAGAAACTCCAGGCTCTGAGCCCAGCGTGGGCACGCAGCAGGGCCAGGGGCTGTGACAGCTCCCAGAAGGGGGAGACTTTGGGGTGGACTGCGGGAGGCCAGCGTCCAGCTGGCAGTGCCCCCAGAATGTGCTCTGCCATGGTTAATTTATAACACCCCGATTTCCTCTTGGGTCTCCTCAAGGAGGCAGGGCTCAAGGTGATTACATTTAATAAAAGGATGAAGATGAAAAAAAAAAAGTTTTTTTTTTTTTCAGTCTAGACCCACTCCACCAGCTTTGCCTGATTCCTTCCTGTAAATTCTACCGGCCAGCAGTGAGATCACCCTTGCAAGCCGACGTCACAGCACAGCAGAGAATGGGGGAGAGGGAGCAAAGGCCAGCGGAGCGCTTTCTAGGGCCAGGTGCATTCTGCATGTCACCTCCCTTAATTTCCAGGTGTCACACCTCCTTAGTGAGGCTCCTCAGCACTATGCATACTGCCCAGAGGGACAGTGGCCCTGAAGGAGGACACTGAGTGCCTACCCTATGGGTTGAACAGCCGCACCTGGTGGCTCCAAGGGCTCTGGAGAGAATTGCCACTCCCCAGGCTAAGTTTTGCTTCCCCCAACTCCTGACTGAATTTCCATATCTATATCCAAAGAAAACAGGCTAAGGGTCCCTTCTGTGATTGACTTTGAAGGTCCCTGTCAGCCCAGAGGAGAAGGTGTAGTTCCAAGTACCTAAGAACAGAAGCTGTGAAAATATCTGAAGCCAAGGCAGTTGGGAATTGTGTTTAATGCCCCTCCCAGGGCCCAGAGGCCAGAGCCAGGGGCCAGGTTTGATAAAGACCTGAGTGTTGCCTTAATTAATCAATAAAAGCATAGAGAAACCTGTTTCTAATTCCCTGCCGTGCTACTACAATCTTAGATTTCTTGAGCATCAAAAGAGAAACTGAGGACCAGAAGGTCATAGCTGCAGGACTCGGGGTGTTGCTGGCCTGAGACATCAGCAAGAGAAGCCAGAAAGAGGGAGATGAAGGAGGTAAAGATGGGACCCTAAACAGGCAGATAAGCAAGGGGTGGAGTTGAACAAGCTTTAGGGCTAGAGACCTGGGGAGAGTAGAGGAGCCCCATTGCTGTTAACAGCCTGGTAGAGCTTAGGAAATGAAGCGGGGTTGGGCAAGTGTTCCTCCCCCCGCGGGTGGGGGCGGGGATATTCAAATCCCCTGTTCGTCTCAAGTGCGTCCCCCCCGTCGCCAGTCTAAAAAGCAATTGAAAAGGTCTATGCAATAAAGGCAGTCGCTTCATTCCTCTCATACCTGCCTTTCCTCCATCCGACAGCCTGCAGGGGGGCTCAGACTCCAGCACTCCCTGTAGCACCTGCCCTCTATGGACAGCAGCCCGGAGCTGCCCGCAGGCTGTAACCAGTATTCCAGGGAGCTGCCCTCCTCTTCCACAACAGCTGGCTCTGGGGTTCTCAAGATTTATTCAGGATCCTGTTAACAGAGGCGGTGGGAGGATGGGGTCCCTGACGTGCCAGGGACACACACAGAGGACCTTCCCTGCCCCCGTGAGGGAGGGGGGAGGCTCGCAAATAATAATAATAATAATAAGTTGGTTTTTTTTATGTTCAAAATAGGTTTTAATCATAAGCTTGATATACAAATTGCTGTACAGTCATCTTAATAAAGTGAAATAGTGAGTGAAAAGTACAAAACAAAGCTCTCACATTCCCCTTAGTGAAGTATCAAAGGATCACTCATAGCCCAAAATTAGTGACAAGGTAAGTGGCCAGTCTGTAAAGCAGGCTAAGGCAAGTGCTGTAAACTGGCTGTTACAGGTGAGCAGGCTCCGCTGCAGATCAGAGGCCCAAGTTCCTACTACCCAAACTTTCCGTGAAGAACGAATTAAATGAATATTGATGGGCCAGGACCACCCAGTAAACCTGGGAACTCACAGAAATGGGGCTCAGTCTCTCCCACCCCCAATTAAGTATTAACAATACACAAATTCTAAAACATGAAGCTGTTTAAAGCATTAATTATATATTATGCTAAAAATAGTTCAGCAGTAGTGTAGACTGTGAACATATTGCACTAGATAGGTGAACACTTTCTCCAAATAGGCGAGCTGCATTTCCCAGCACAAGCAGGGTTAATCCCTGTGGTGTGCAAGGAGGAGGCTGCTGTACTGAGCGACATGTTCCTGGTGACCACAGGTACTCCAAGCTCAGCCCCACGGAGAGTTACTGGTCCTGAGATTCATAGAGGAGCTTGGCAGCCCTGTGCATGGCCATTAGCCATGCCACCACCTGCTTCCTGCCCACATTTGCATCCTCCACTGCTGTCAGCTTCAAGGGCCTTGTCGGAGTGAGATTGCCGGTGTTTGCGGGTGGTTGTTTCACTCGGGGCCATGTGGAGTAGGTATGGACCTGAACTCACGACTGCTTGGAGTGTCCGCCATGAGGAGAAGTGAGGTGCTGGCGGAGGAGTCCGTAGTATGTCTGCAGAAAGCCCTAAATCACCTTTGGGAAATATGGGAGCTAATTGGGATTCCAGAGGACCAGCGGTTACAAAGAACTGAGGTGGTAAAGAATCATATCAAGGAACTCTTGGATATGATGATTGCTGAAGAGGAAAGCCTGAAGGAAAGATTCATCAAAGGCATATCCGTCTGTCAAAAAGAGCTGAACTCTCTGTGCACCGAGTTGCATGTCGAGTCATTTCAGGAAGAAGGAGAGACTACCATCTTACAACTAGAGGAAGATTTGCGCACGCAGGTGGAATTGATGCGAAAACAGAAAAAGGAGAGAAAACAGGGACTGAAGCTGCTTGAAGAGCCAGATCAAGGACTGTGAAATTCTTTGTATGCCCCATTAAGCCTCAGTGCCCAGCTCAGAAGAGCTGAACCAGTTCAGGCAACATGTGCCAATTTTGAGGGAAACAAAGAGAAAAGTTTCAGATCCGAATCAGTTTGCCAATTGGGGAGGAAACCTTCTGAAAGAAGAAAAACAACGAGTCAAGCTCCAGAAAATGCTGCCTAAGCCAGTCGCTATTTCTGCCCGTTCAGGGCAGGAAATACCCCATGCCGGCAGGCATGGAGCCAGCAAGGAGGAACCAGACTTCAGCGGCAGCATCCTGAGTGTGAGAACTTTCAATGGCTTCCAGATCTGACGCTACTTCTGGAATCCTAAGTTCAACCAACATCCAGTCCTGAGGCCCTGAGCAGTCAACCAGCTGTTTTTAAAAGATTAAATTATTATTAAAAATAAATTAAAATCTATATTTGCATTTCAAAAAAAAAAAGTAGGCTTCTTCCACGCCTACTACTATTGCTTCATCACGTTGACTACCATTGGGTTCGGGGACTACGTGGCCCTGCAAACCAAGGGCGCCCTGCAGAAGAAGCTGCTCTACGTGGCCTTTAGCTTTATGTATATCCTGGTGGGGCTGACGGTCATCGGGGCCTTCCTCAACCTGGCCGTCCTCAGGTTCTTGACTATGAACACTGAGGATGAGCAGGATGCCGAGGAGAGGGCGTCCCTCGCTGGAAACCAAAACAGCATGGTCATTCACATCTCTGAGGAGCCGCGGCCCAGCCGGCCCAGGTACAAGGCGGACATCGGGGACCTGCAGCCTGTGTGCTCCTGCACCTGCTACCGCTCGCAGGACTATGGCGGCTGCTCAGCGGCTCCGCAGAACTCCTTCAGCACCAAGCTTGCCCCCCACTACTTCCACTCCATCTCTTACAAGATCGAGGAGATCTCACCAAGCACATCAAAAACAGCCTCTTCCCATTTCCTATTAGCTCCATCTCTCCTGGGTTACACAGCTTTACCGACCACCAGTGGCTGATGAGACGCCGGAAGTCTGTCTAGGTGTGGGGAGGGAAATGGAACAGAAAAGTCATTTGTCATAGTTGATGTTAATTTCCATTGGTCCAACTCGTCTTTTCTTATTTATTTATTATTCTTTATTATTATCGTCATTATTATTACTTTCTCTCCTTCCTCCTTTCTTGGTCTCTCGGTCTCATTTGCCCCCACCTTTCCAGCCAGACAGAGCAGGCCAAAAGGAAATACAGGCCCATCCTCCTCTGAAACTGCATCTGAGCATGAAGCATGGATCTCCTCCTTCCTTCCCAGCAGACTATGCCTTACATTTCTCACCACACCCGCCCCATCTCTGCAGTGGTTTTCCCGGGACAGAGGTGAGACCAAGACCACGGAGACAGAACTGAGAGGATACCCACCCCAAAGCTGCACACCATGCTCAGAGCCTTCAATCACCCACCTTAGTGGTGTCTCTGACCTAACTCCTTTCCTTTTTCCTCCCTAAGGACTGAGTGGCTGTGTGTGCATGTGTTGTGTGTGTGCTTCTGTGTGCACGTGTGTCGTGACAACACAGGAAGCATTAGGTATTCCTTTTTCTTTCCCATCACACATCATAGCCTGCTTTTGGCTGCTTCCAAACGAAATAAAGACAAAACCCCCCAAGGTTTTTGATTTATTGTCTCTTGCAAAATCAAGCATGTTTCATAAGCAGTCTTTACCCCTGATGTGTCATGGTCCTACTTTCTAAATGCTAGGTTCTCAATTATATTAATGTTATTTAGGGGGCGGGTGGGCAGGAAGACCTGGATCATTGTAGCTTGCCAGTTCAGACATTTTTAAAAAGCATGCACTTTGTTAAACTGGTATGCGCTATCCACAAGAAAACCAGAAGTGGAATCATCAAAAGCCCATCATATTAATTTATAAGAGGCATCTTTAGTTTTGTCATCTCCAGTTCCGACAATTTACCGTGCAACTGAAATTGTCAGGGGACACAGGAAAATTGTGGGGACCACAGAGTACCTGTTTTACTTCCCTCTTATTGACGATTTTGTGCAGCACCTTCCTGCGTAAGTAAGAATTATTGTGTTGGAATGCTTGGGCAAGAATGGGTATTAGTATGTGGCTGTGGTGCCTTTTCCTAATGAGAAGTGACAGGGCATTCCTCTTTAAAAGTACATATCTATTTCAAGGGAAAAAATATATTTTTTTAGAGACGGTGTCTCGCTATGTTGCCCAGGCTGGAGTGCAGTGGCTACTCACAGGAGCAATCCCACTACTAATCAGCACAGGAGTTTTGACCTGCTCCATTTCCGACCTGGGCCAGTTCATCCCTCCTTAGGCAACCTGGTGATCCCCTGCTCCCGGGAGGTCACCATATTGATGCCAAACTTAGTGCAGGCACCCGATCAGCACAGCGCACTACAGCCCACAACTCCTGGACTCGAGCGATCCTCCAGCCTCAGCCTCCCAAGTAGCTGGGACTACAGGCACGCACCACTGCACCCGGCCATATATAATTCTTAATATGCCTTAGCAATTATTGTTTGCATTTTCTTAACTCTAGGGTTCAGAGAATCTTATTTACCTCATATAACAATGACATACACAGCACTTTAAACCACTGGTAACTCTGCTATTCTCTGTTATAGGTTGTGTATAGCATATAGTTCATGGTATTGGTGGGAGGAAAGGGAATTTTTTTTTTTTTTGAGACAGAGTATCTCATTGCCACCCGCGGTAGAGTGTAGTGGTGTGATCTTGGCTCAGTGCAACCTCCGCCTCCCAGGTTCAAGTGATTCTACTGCCTTAGCCGCCCGAGTAGCTGAGATTACAGTCACCTACCACCATGCCCAAATAATTTTTTGCATTTTTAGTAGAGATGGGGTTTCATCATGGTGGCCAGGCTGATCTCAAACTGCTGACCTTGTGATTTGCCCGCCTGAACCTCCCAAAGTTCTGGGATTACAGGTGTGAGTCACTGTGCACGGCCCAGAAAGGGATGTTTTAATGAAAATACCTCTCAAATATTTGTGTAGCCATAGATAATCTTTTTTAACATATTTTTTAAATAAAAAAATGAAATAGAGACGGGGTTTCACCATGTTGACCAGGATGGTCTCAATCTCTTGACCTCGTGATCCACCCACCTCTGCCTCCCAAAGTGCTGGGATTACAGGCGTGAACCACTGTGCCCGGCTGCCATAGATAATCTTTAATTCTGAAAACCTCTTCTGTCTCCAATTCTGAGGTTTGAACCCACCTGTCTCTTCAGACATGCTTCTGCTGAGGTTTAGTTTTGTAGTCACCAAAAGATGCCTTTGTCCTCTTTTTCTGCCCTCGGATTTTCAGATTCTGAACACAAGCCTAGTTTCTGCCTCCGATGATCATTTTCAATAGCACGTAAAAAACAGAGCCCTGTTCCACATTTTTACGGTTTCTTCACTTGGCAAAATATTCTTCCCGAATGGCCTCAAGGGCGCACATGTTCTCCATGCCCATCCACCTTCTCGGCTAGGCAGCACTCAGAGCCACACCTGAGTGCAGGCTGACACCCCTTTGGAGGTGGCTCCAGCCATAAAAACTCAGGATTGGAGCTGGTTTTAGCCACAGAGGGCCAAGAGGTGGTCCTGAATGAGGTGTCCCTGTGCTCCCCAGGCCCCGGTAGATCCTGTCTGGACAGGACCTGCCACCCTCAGCCAGCTGCCACACCCTTGCCAAGGTGTGACTTGGAGTCCTGGAGCCACCTTTGGAGATGTGAAAATTAGCTCCTACTTTTAGCCAAAGTGTTTGGAAAGCAAGGCTTGGTTTTTAGCTTTGATCTGGGATTTTTAAAAAACTCTTCAAATGATGACTTTCAGAATCAGTGGTTTGTCCTCTGTGCCCTTCTAGAAGCTGGAATCAGGTTTGTTCCTCTTTATTACTTGTGGTGCATTCTGCTTCCTCTGACTTTCAAAAAATTAGTCTTGACTTTTTTTTTTAAGATAGCGTCTCGCTCTGTTTCCCAGGTTGGAGTGCAGTGGTGAAATCTCCGCTCACTGCAACCTCCACCTCCCAGGTTTAAGCAATTCTCCTGCCTCATTCTCCCTAGTAGCTGGGACCTCAGGCACGCACCACCATGCCTAATTTTTGTATTTTAGTAGAGATGGGGTTTCACCATCTTGGCCAGGCTGGTCTCAAACTCCTGACCTCA